GGAAATTTATTTGAATATAATGAATAAAAATTATCCAATGAATTAAAATGTTAAAATACAACTATTTATCGATAACGTTATGCACAATTTTTGTGAATTTTGAGTTTTATATTCCTAATTGTTGCTTTATATTTTATAAAAATTATATTTATAAATCATATTTTATAAAAAACTTTATATTAAAAACAATGTTTTTATTTATTATATGAATTTATTATGTCCTGATCGTTTATATTTATACATATTAAATAAAAAATTAATAAAAAAATTTCAAGAAATTAGGTTAAATCTTTAAACTTGTTTTTCTAAAAAATATTAAAAATACAAATAAAGTATTTATATAGTAAATAATTATTATATATAAAAAATAATTATGTACATTTTATATAAATTCTATTAATTTTTTTGTTTATGTTTATTAAAATAAAAAATTCTGTTAAAATAATGTTAATATGTTGTAAAGTTATTGCCAAAAAATTCGTTTATTCGAATTAATTTTCATCATTAGGTTTAAACAATTTTAAAATAATATTCATATTTTCCTATGTCACGTTGATACGTGATCCACAAATGTTAGCTTGATAATATATTATATACATATACTTAGGATAAACTATCGATATCAGATATGCATCATGCAAGTGCATGTTTCTTTTGTATAATATAATAATCTTCTTTTATTTAGAATGTTAAAGATATTAATTGATTAAAATGTTTAATATATATATTAAATGAAGAAATAAATGTAAAGTTTTGAAAAAATTAAAAATAATGATTAATTCTTTTATTTAAATTTATATAAATTTTTTTTTAGAACAATTAATATAATCGGAATTAAACAAATTGATTTAAAGATCGATTTACAATTTTAAAACATATTCTTTAGTAAAGTAATTTGAGAACTTATATATTTTAAAAAAAAATTTCAATTAACATTCATAAGAAAGTATTTTTATACAGATTCTTACATAGATTTTATTCTTTCGTTTATTTATTATATAATTTGAATCATTTTCTCATAATTTAATTTATATTTAATTTATATTTAATTTTCTTACAATTAATTTATATTTTCATGATATTTGTCATAATTATATTATTATTTTCATTATATAT